ATATATTAAAATATAAAAATTAACATTAATTTTATAATATATTTGAATGAAACAAAAACGAGTGAAGGGGGAAAATTTTATTCCTCAGATCCCTTTCATTCCTTTTCCTTCCCTTCCTTACCATTTGAATGACTAAATAAGATTTTAAAGTAATAAAAGAAAAGAAATTATTTTCTTTTTTAATTTTTTTTATAATTAAATAGAAAAAAATTTTCTCCTTTTCTTGTTATTCTAATGAATTAATTCTCTAAGGTGTAAAATAAAAGTCTGTTTCCCCAATACGTAAGAATTGGTGTAGAATTCAAAAATAATTCGTTGATAATATGTATTAGTCAATTTAGTGGGGACATTGATTAGCAGTGGAACGTGAATTGGTTCTTCCTTGGTGGGACTTGTGCGGTGGACCTTCCATGAACTTGCATTAGTACTACTATTGGTATTCAAATTTGGCGTGGATCTTCAAAGTCGTCATTTGCGGTGCTTCTTTTCCGTTTTTTCTTTGAAAATAGGCAATGTATTTGCCGTGCTTCCGGGTCATTTCACTACTAAAATTTAAGTTTTCAGCAACAATACATCAGCAACATGGAATCCTTTGTTGCTGAAAATTTATATTAGCAACAAGGCTTATGTTGCTGAAAGTTACATAGTACATTTTTCCCCTAAAAAGTTGCTCCACTTTCAGCAACAAGGAGTATGTTGTTGAAAGTAAATTTCAGCAACATACCCCATGTTGTTGATATTTTTCGGTAACCATTTTCCTATGTAATTGAGCCCCACTTTCAGCAAGATATCTCTTGTTGCTAAAAGTTTATATCAGCAACAAAACTTATGTTGCTGAAAGTTGCATAGTACATTTTTTTTCCCTAGTAATTGGTCAAGGCTATTATATATATGCCTTTAAGTAAAGAGTCGAATCTAGGAACAAAGATTCGACTCTCAAGCATTTAAGAGTCGACTATATATGGTGGATATTCGACTCCCAAATTCCAGAGAATTGAAAACGTTCAGAGTGCTATGTATAGTCGACTCTTTTTAATGAGAGTCGACTCTTGTTGAAAAAGAGTCTACTCTTATTTGAAAAGAGTCAACTCTTAATTTAAAAAATCAAGTATTGACAAAAAATTGTGATAACTTTATATAAAATGTCATATGTATATTCACATATTTTTTAGATAAAATCAAGTTTTAAATTAGTTAAATATATTAATAAATAATGTAATTATATTAATTAATGTGTTAAATAAAATTTAACAAATTAAACAAAATCAACTACTAAATTAAATGTTAGGTATAAAAATAAATTACTTAAAGATTAAAAATTTATTAAAATAGGTTAAATAAAATTTTATCTTTACTTTGCAAATATAAAAAGGCGAACCCACAAGCTGGGTTCTTTTCTTTTCCATGGATTTTGATTCGGTGATTGGTTAATTTTGTTTTAATTTTTTTCTTATGAGTTTTTGCTTTTATTTCTTGCAAATTTTCTTGGTTACATTTCTTTCTAAACTCAAAACTCTCTCTCCTTGCCTCCCGAAGGATGATGATAAAACTTGATTCTTTGTTTGATTCCATAAAGATGCTGAAGGAGCAAGAAGCACATTTTTATTATTTTGATTATGATGATTATAAAGCTTGATTATTTTTTCCCGATTTTAGCTGTGGATTAGTTGCAAATTTTGTCTCTTTAGTCTTTGTAAATTGGTGAAATCAAAACCCAATCATTGTCTGCAATGGCGGAACCGCCAGAACGTGTATATTGCATGGATGATTGCTGGGTTCCTAGCTGTTGCAGATCTGCAGAGGTGAAAAAAAAAAA